ATGCAATTAACTGGTTTTCCCTAGATAGAAAACTTCAAATCAAATTTACTTCATGATCTGGCGGACTGTGAAATGCCTTGAGATTATGTATAGTGAATTGGCGCTATATAAATAAACTGAATTGAATCTCTGGTAAGTATGATTTATTTTATTTTTATGCTTTATGCTTTGTTTTATCTTTTAATAACATGCATATTGAATCTGAAAGTCTACTTATGCTACTTAGCTGCATTTGTTACTTTTCATATATAAATACTACAGGAGGTTTCTTTCATTAAAATGAGAAAGGGGTGATATTAACCCCTTGACACCTATCGTTGTAAATATGCAACAAAGCCTTTGCATTAAAAAGATAACATGTACATTCTCTCATTGCCAGTTATTACAATCAGTGAATAGGAACCTTTGGCAAGCTCTTGTTTCTATTATAACTGGTCTCTAACAGTATATGTTAATAGTCATTAACTGTTAATAACTGCTATAGAGTCAATTACATAATGCAAGTGAAGGTCTTCTGTAGTTACAGGTACAGGTTCAGAAGGAGTGATTTCTTCAAAGTACTTTAAATGACTTAATGCAGTCAGCTGGGTTTACTTAAATAGAAAATCTTTAACCTGTCTTTATGATTTGATTTGAGTGCCTTGGGGTAATGTTTATGAATGGGTGCTTAATAAATAGACTGAGTTGAACTGAATAATCAAAATGCTATTGAAAATATCATAAGGGCAAATCCAAATGACTAGAATGGTTTTATTGCTGATAATAGCACCAATCTTAGCACAACAACAATCAAAAGAGTAATATAAACTTACTTCAAACTTTTTAGAATTTGTCACTGGTATTTCAAAAAATTTTTACAAGTTAAAAATATGACTGGAACCCTCCTCAAAGATCATATTGAATCTAGCTAGAAGAAACATGTTAACATACAGACATATTGCATGAATTTCCTATATAAGTATCAATATAATCATATATATCTACCTGTTGCAATGCTGGTTCCATGCAGAATGTTATTTGCCACATTTCCAAGAAGGATTGAATCCACTGTTATGTTGGATTTTATTAAGTTTTCTGCAACAGTAGCTGGGTGTTCGGTGGATCTGTTTGTAGAAAAACAGAACTCTTTAATAGAAAAAACATACATGACTATGTGTTCCTATGCTATTTTCACACAAGCAGAGTTCCCTTTCCTGGGATTTAAACTTACAGAACTATTAATCTTGTAGGTGGACTTGTAGAAACAATCACTAAAATTATTTAAATATGTATGAACCCTTAAAATTTTTTTATCTAAAATTAGCCCCAGTTTCTAAACTCTTGGAATTACAAGAAAAGTGGAAAAAGAAAAAAAAAAGCACTGTCTGTTTCAATAATATTTACAGAAGTAGCCAGAGATCAGAAAAAAAGCATGTAAATGTAAAAAAAAACAGTCAGTGCAGTACATGATTCGCACACCAACCATGCTTGGTCTGGTGTCTTCTACTTTTTGTCAAACAGATTTTCTTTTTCTTTGTCAGGTTTGTTTGCCCACTATGGGTTTTCTGACATCTTTAAAATGCCTAGACAATACTACCCCCACCGCTTCATATCTTTGTTTTCCACTGGGTCAGCCCGTTTAAAGGGATGTTGCTCAAGAACAGACGAATGAGTAAATAATGTGCGCAGGTGGTGCTCATGGGAGTTACAATCTCATAGTGCCACATTTTAATATGTTTATAATCTCAAAGGCCATTCAAGAAAACTATAAGAATTTAATACTTAATTTATCCCATTTTTGGTGGGTGTTAATGTAAAGCTTTGTGGGTCTCCCCATACATTACCTATACTTTTACAGCTAATGACATTAAATGTACACAGATTTTACCCAAAATCATTTCCATCGGTGAGGCACATAATGCGAAGTCTACATTTTGGAAATTTCTTCTTCACTGCTTCCAACTCCAGCCTTCCGTGTTCCAGAGCATCATACAACAAGGTACGCCCAGATGGTTTGAGATTGTGCACATGTTCCTTAACAAACATATAACTGATTAAATAAATGACTCTATAGCCTATGTTCTATTTAAAATAAACCATTGGAATGCCAGACCAAAATATGCTGAACAGACAATTTAGGAATCTTACCTTAAAATTTTCAAGTGTTTCTGTCAATGTGTGCACTGTTTTGACAGTTGAGGAAAATGTCACAAGGCCAATGATGTGATGGAAATCATAAGCCATGGTTCGTGATGCAAAATTGTCAAAAAGTTCAGCTACAGCATGAATCTTTTTAATGCCCACACTTCCATAGCACATTTCCTTCATTGAAGAGCTTGTGTCTAACAGTACCTGGTAAAATAAAAGTTACAAATGACATATTGTTGCAGATAAATTATTATTTCAGATAAACAGGGCTCAAGAAAAAGGGTGAAGAGAATTGCTTTTTTTCTCACTCCTCTTCACCTCAAAGTGCCAATAGGTTTTTGAAGGAAACCGAGAGCACTAGGAGTAATTCAGTGGTCTAAAGAGAAACACTCCTCTCCTATATATTTATATTATGACTTTTGTCAAATTTTGTTAACATCTGTGAACATTGTGGGTTTTCTTGTTGTATTAAAAGTGATAAATAGAATTTCTGTGAAATGAAGACATTGATTTTTAATCATGATTTAAGTGAAAACAACAATTGATGGTACTCTTCATTTCTTATTTTTTGGACAAAGCAATCATCCATAAACGGCTACTGATACCAAGCTTTGTGAAACTGGGCATCATATTTCTCTCTAGAATCCCTTGAAAGTCTCACAATGACATTTTACACTGCAGAATGCAAGACATCCTGTGCAAGATAAAGCAAAGCAGCCCTAAGCATAGCAGAACCTTCTTCATGTTTTAAAGTAGGGACAGTGTTCTCTCCTGGATATGCTTAATATGTCTAAAACTGGCATGACCTTTCCAAAAGGGTACATTTATGTCCCATCTGTCCATATTAAATTCTCCCATAACCTTTGTAAATTGTTGAGATGTAGTTTAAGAAATTCCAGTCAGATTTTTTTAATATTTGTTTTCAACAATGGTGTCCTCCTTGGTAGTCTTCAGTTGGGCTCAAACAATGACAGATTGTGATTTCTGACACTGATTACCTTTGAGCTTGAAGTACACCTTCAATCTCTTTAGAACTTTTCTTTAATTTACTTTTTAATCCCTTGAGACATCTGTTTTTGTTGCTTTCTCTGGTCCAGGTTGTGTGTGGTATAAACCATGTTACCGAACAGTACAGTGACTCCCTGTAGCCCTATATACTAAAGGACAACTGATTGATTAAAAGGTTGTAGACACATGTGTGTTAATTAATGGACCTACCTTGATTCAACATGTCCCTTTGCTCACATTGTTTTCAGTCTTTCTAAGAGTACCATCATTCTTGTCCATGCCTGTTTCATTGATTTATTAATTAATCATTCTGATCAAGCATAGTTGAAAATTCTTTTTCTGACTTTCATTTGGGTAAATTCACTTTCAACTTACCTTTTACCTTAAGCTTGTAACTTATTACATTTTAAGATATTTTTAAGCAATACTTCATATGTGTAGTGGCATAGCCCCAGGTCTTCAGAGCAGGCAGGTGTGGGCTGCTTACTCAACCAGGATATGGAATAGGAGCTCAGACTTACAGTAGCTGTAATGTTGCACACTTATTTGTTAATAATTCATTTTGAGATGTTTTTCAGCGAGAAAGTACAACTCAGTGCTTCATCTTTGTAATCAGTTCGCTAATAAATAGACAAATTTTAAAGCAGTGTTGAAACAGTTATTGTCAGGGTTTGGTTGTGGATTTTGAGGACCCAAATGCAGAGGCAGGGAGGCAGATATGAGTTTCTTGAAGACATAATTAATGATCACAAACAACTGAGGCAAGAATCCAAAAATCCAACTTAAAATGTAACACAAACCAGAACCATGGAAAGATCAGGGGAAAAGAGCATGTGGAGTCAGGGAAAGGCGAGGAGAGACGAGGTAAGACGAGGAACCAGCACTGAGGAACTGCACAAGGAGAGTATGTATGGGAGACTGAACAAAGGGAGGACTAACAAGATAAATGGAAAGGAGCTAGAGAAAAGGAGACCAACACAAAAGAGGGCACCAAATAAAATCCTAAGAACTCAAATATATCCAGAAAACATAACAAAATAGGAATTAAACCAATAAAACTTGAAAACATGGAACAAATCAAAACTGAATACTTAAAAGAAAACATAACAGAACCAAGACCATGACAGTTAGAGCCCCATGCAGGGTTCGTACACCTTTTCCAAAGTCAAAATCAAGCACTTTTGAAGCACTTTCAAGATGGTGGTGGTGGTGGTGATGGTGGTGATGGGGGGGGGGGGTTGTTCAAATTAAATTAAATTTGTTCAAAGTTACTGAACATAGACATCAGCTAGATAAAAATACCTGTATTGCCTCCTTTGTCACCAATTCTTCAATAAAAATGAAAAGGTTAGTTTTTATACAGACATTTTTATTAATGCCACATTTTTTTTTCATTATTTCACTGGTCTTTTTAATTACATTATTTTCAACCTAGAGGACAAATTAGATGTCTTGAACCCCTACCTGTGGGATTTAGATTCAGAATCTGACCCTCTCTATTATAATTGCTGACCAGCAAATGTGTAGAACAGTCATCATAGTCCTAGATGCTTGCATGATTACTGTAGTGATACACAAAACATGATTGACTCCTAACAGAGATTGAGATGGTGCAAGTTTTGAGTGTAAATGAAACTGCGGAACCTTTACTCACTGTTATTGCTGACTGTGGTATGCTCCATTAACTCAATAAAAATGTATCATTGCAAATTTGATACTAAAGCTTCTCTCCACTAATTCTTTATACTGTAGCTTTTATAGACCAGTGTAGTTGATAGTGTTTTTATTTTTCTTGTTGTAAGAATGGAATACAATGAGAATCTATACATTTTTTTTGGTACTTTTATCTAACAACTGTTTAATACTTACTCAGCTGCCAGCTGTTCCACATCCAGTTGTCTTGCTTTGCCAGCAATGACATCATATGCACAAATTATTTGTGGACTCATCTTATGTTTATGGAGATAAACACCAAGCATTCCTGTAAAGAGGAAAAAGGAGATTAGTAAATGTTATTTCAAAATTCTAAATTGGCACCTTCTAAAACAGGTATGTTTCTACACTGACTGCATAAATTATTTTTGCCTTACAATTTATGTAATACCTTTACTCAGGAAAACAAGACGTGGACCTTGAAGTCCTATATCTTTCAGACACAGTGGCGGGGTCACAGTGAGTTGTGGAAAAGCCTCCAGGTTCTCTGCCATGCTTCCAAAAGTTTTTCCAGTAATTATGTTAAAGCTAGAATACAAACCAAAATTATACAAAAAATGCTTTACTTTATAAATAAAGAAACTAGGGATGAATAAAATACAGTTACAGTTATAATAGCATAACTTTTTTATCCACCATCTGTACATACTTCTGTCCAGTCACACTGCCATGAGAAATCCAAAAATGGTAAGTTGTTACTGATGGATGAACACTGAGCAGGATTCTCTCAATGTCTGTTGCCCTCACCAGTGACGTTACGCGCAAATTGTCCTCAGTGCAGTTTGGAATCTTGTCTCCATCTGTAATGTATTTAACAAAAAGTATTGTATCAACATGTTTTAAGGGTGACAACCCTGTTTTTTCGGAACAGGTTTTTAACATAAATATTATTTATATACATATATTTCTTATAGAAATAAGCTTTTTTTTTTTTTTAACAACAAACCATTTAAAGGTACTCTCTGAAACTTTTCCTCCAAAATCCACGTAGAGTGCTGTAAAAAAAAAGGTTATAATAGTACAGTAATAAACAGTTTATAAATAATATTTATATATATTTTGCTGGGCCCAAAACACTTCTGGTTATGATGTCAGCTTTGAATTGATAGGATCCTGCACAAAATTGAAGAAATTGCTTTTTCTTTGCATTACATTTCCCTGATTAAACCTCTCTACAGCCCCAGTAAGACAAAGCTTTATTATATCATTTTATGGGAAAAGGAGGATTTCAAATTCTATACTCAATCTAACATGAAGCCAATGAGGAGAAGCAAAAATGGGAGATATATGATCACTCTGTTTAATTTGCATCAGAACTCTGGCTGCAGCATTCTGGATCAACTGAAGCCTTTTAACTACAGTTGGGGTAGATCCTGATAGTAAAGAATTACACTTACTCCATTACTTGTTACCCCACAGGTAACCCCAGAGCATGAGGAAGACTTATCTTTAAAATGAACAAACTGAAATCTGTCAAATAAGATTTAAACCAACTTAGTGCACTTACCATAGTTTCTACAAAACATTTGTCTTTCTATAAGAATATTATCGCCTACTTTATCAAATAAATCACTGAGATCTACCAGGACAAGTGTAGATACAATTTCATTACACGATGCCATGACACTATCATTAGTGTCTCTCACCAAAGTTGTTTCAGTGGTACAATAAGCTCTAAAACCTCATTGAAAACATTGAAAAAGTTCATTATTGTGTCAGTGGGCAAGCAATTTTTTTCTCAAGAATTTAGGATAAAAAAGGAAGATTGTATATAGGTCTATAATTGACCAGAGTCAGCTGCTTTGGTGTTAATGAAATGAACAACATGTGCACTAGAGGGGCAACAACAACATCCATCAAAACAGGAATGGTTTTACAGGTGGAGGCCACTGACATTTTTTCTCCTCCTCATCTTTTCTGACTCTTTTTCACCAGTTTTGCATTTGGCTAGCGTCACTGTCACTACTGTTAGCATTAGGGGCTACCTGGACCCTACTGAGGTTGCAGAGGCAGTCCAACTCCTCCAGGATGGCACATCAATACGTGCCATCGCCAGAAGGTTTGCTGTGTCTCCCAGCATAATCTCTAGAGCATGGAGGAGATTCCAGGAGACAGGCAGTTACTCCAGGAGAGCTGGACAGGGCTGTAGAAAGTCTACAACCCATCAGCAGGACCAGTATCTGCTCCTTTGCACAAGGAGGATCAGGAGGATCACTGCCAGAGCCCTATTAAATGACCTCCAGCAGGCCACTGGTGTGAACGTCTCTGATAAAACAATCAGAAACAGACTTCACGAGGGTGGCCTGAGGGCCTGATGTCCTCCAGTGGGCCTTGTGCTCACTGCCTGGCAACGTGGAGCTCGATTGGCATTTGCCATAGAACACCGGAATCGGCAAGTCAACCACTGGCGCCCTGTTCTTTTCACAGATGGGTTTTATACAGTAGCCTAACAAAGCCTTGTTTTTGTTTTGAAAACATGCAAATTGGAACAGACGAAGGGGTCCATCCATTTGGAACAAACTCAACACTATTCCTGAAATTCTGAATTGAAAAAGCTTCCTGGATGGGAAGCAAAATGTCTTCAAACTTGGAAACAAAGTCCAGTGGATTGTTTTTAATTTTCTTTTTTGGAATGACTATGACCTGGATGATTGAGAACCTTCACCAGCATATTGCACTCCATTTGGGAAACACACCCTTTTTTCCATCTATATCACAGTTACATGGGAGTATTAGCTGGAGGCAAAACAAACTGACAAGTAGAGGCAATCACTACAAACCAGTTCAGGTTCGACTACACAAGGAACTTAAATTAGCTTGTTGTTGTTGGCTCAGACAATTCGAAGTTTTATCTCATAACTAAACTATGCTAGCTCTGGTTAAAATCAGAGCCGCTGATGATTCAGGTTGAAAGCAATATAAGGGCAATGGATAGAAATGATACAACATGCTATTGTATGCAGCGCTCACTTCTTTCCCCCTAGGTTAAGGGTAAATAAAATATTGTCTTTTGCAGGCATGGATTATGATGTACTCACCCACCTATGTAAGTGAAGTTTGCCGTCAAGATTAAGCTGTTTCTCTGTTTACAATTAGATAAGCCCGGTGAAGGACTTTTTGGACTTGATTGACTCGTTTCCATTTAACACAATCTGTGGTTGGGCCAACACACTTAAAGGGACATACTCTGGACTTGGTGTTATCACATGGACTTTGTTTGGATACCATTGAAATCCTTCAGACATGTATTTCTGATCATTTGCCTTTTTTATTTTCTATTAATATTTTATCTTCTGTGGATACAAACAATACTAAACCCCTACTTTCTCGTACTATAAACTCTGACACTGCTCTTTAACTAAATACAGTCCTTGCTAATACTACATTCCCTACTGATAGCAGTCTTGATATTGAAACTCTTATTCTACATTTTAATAATGCTTGTTCAAATGCTCTAAACACGGTAGCTCCCTTGAAAATTAGAAAAGCTAAAAAAAAGAAACTTTTAGAGCCATGGCTTAATGAAACCACTCGTGCACTCAGAGGAGGTGGAAAAAAGCTAAATTGCAGGTTTCGTTTGAAATTTTAAAAGACAGTTTATTTAATTATCAGAACAATGTCAAATTAGAAAAATCTAAATATTTCATTAATCTTGTAGTTTCCAATAAGCATAGGCCTCAAGTCCTTTTTAGTGTTCTGGATAGGATTGTAAATCTCTTGATTACATCTGGCCCTGTAGCCTCTGTTGAACTTTGTGAGGCTTTCTCTGAGTTTTTTACAGAAAAAAATGTAGCTCTTAGAGGGTTGAATACTTTAGTAGATTTAGATTCCCAAGAAATGCCACAATGCACAGCTGTTCTGGACCATTTTCAGCCAGTTTCTTTAGATGAAATGACTTCAGTTATTAAACATCTGCGGCCGTCAAATTATTCTTTGGATTGTCTTCCTTCTCGTCTGATAAAAGACATTTTTCTCACTTTCAGCCTTTTTATCTTAATGGTGATAAATGCCTCATTGCAGTCTGGCTGTGTCCCATCAATACTTAAACATGCTGTGATCAAACCCCTTCTTAAAAAATCCAATCTAGACTCAAGTGTACTTGCAAATTTTAGGCCCATTTCTAAGCTTCCTTTTTTATCCAAGGTTCTTGAAAAATTAGTTTTTAATCAGCTTGAAATTTTTTTTAAAAGATAACAATATAACTGAGAAATTTCAGTCTGGGTTTAAAGCTGCTCACAGTACTGAAACAGCTTTGTGTTGGCCTAAGAGGCACAGTATTTGAGTGGTTTAAATCTTACTTAGAAAACAGAACTTTATCAGTTCATCTTGACCACTGCTGTTCTGGGATCAAACCTTTGAGGTACGGTGTCCCCCAAGGCTCAATTTTAGGTCCCATTTTGTTTATTTTGTATTTATTGCCTCTTGGTCAGATCTTCCATAAGTTTAGTGTTTCTTTTCATTGTTTTGCAGATGATGTCCAGATTTCTATGCCCCTTAAACTACAGAATGGTAAAACTGAATCTCTTCAGCTATTGATGGATTGTTTAGCTGAAGTCATAATTTGGATGGAACAAAATTTCTTCACCTCAATCACATTAAAACCCAAGTTTTATTATTTGGTCAAAGTCCTCAGACTACAAATCCAGATCTGATTCTTGGTTCTTTAGCTCAGTTTTGTCAGACCTCTGCTAGGAATCTTGGTTTCATTTTTGATAGCTGTTTAAAGCTAGATAAACAAGTTAGCTCTGTTGTTAGATCAAGTTTTTATCACCTGCAGATTTTAGCAAAAATTAAATCTTATTTTTGTTTTAAGGACTTTGAAGGACTTATCCATGCTTTCATCACATCTCGGTTGGATTATTGCAATTCATTATATAGAGGCATGGATAAATCACAGATGCAGCGACTTCAAATGATCCAGAACGCAGCGGCACGGCTTCTTACAGGAACCAGGAAGCGTGACCATACTGTATAAGGCCCATACTGGCCTCTGTACATTGGCTGCCCGTCTTTTATCGGATAGATTTTAAGATTCTTTTATTAACTTATAAGGTTCTAAATGGATTAGCTCCTCCCTATCTTCGGAACCTTTTCAAATTTCACTCTGTATCCAGAAGCTTACGATCAAATAATCAGCTATTACTGACAGTCCCTCGGACGCGACTTAAGAGGAAAAGAGATCGGGCTTTTTCTGTTGTTGCTCCAATTCTATGGAACAATTTACCTTTTCAAATTACATCTGCCCACAGCCTGGATCATTTTAAATTGCTTCTTAAAACTCATTTTTATTCTTTGGCATTTACTTGAAGTGTTTGGATAATCTGTTTTTATTAATTAGTACTATTGTTTGTCCTGTACAGCACTTTGGTGCAGTTTTATACCTGTTTTTAAAGTGCTATATAAATAAATTTGACATTGACATTGACATAAGCCTGCTACATGGACAATTTCTGGCCTTGGTGCAGCAAGGACGAAATTAAGATCACCCTGTTTTCATTTAACTGGGTGTGGATGTCACCCCACTCAGCCAGAGGTAATTCATTCAGAAGAGCTCATCCAGTAACTTTCATTTAAAGTTAATTTCTTTAAAACTATCCTGGCCTTAGAAATAAAAATTAAATACATTAGGCTACGTACTGTATGTACATATGCTATACGTAGGTAGCCTACAATTAGGCAGCATATTCAAATAAAATCTGATTCCCTATAACTTTATTTCGTTTTTAAAGAAGCTAGCAAAACTTGCTAGATACCACTCTTAAAGTAACTTGGCACCTGCCTCTAGCTAAGGTCCACCCACAGAAATACGTCACAATTTTTACTAACAGTAAGAGGGTCTTTATGGCTGACCTTTTATCATTCGCAAAACAGTAGCTCTTTCCATAACATTTGGTACCCCAGGGACCTTGACTGGTTCACAGAAACGGCTGCCATCCTCGCTCTTTAAAAGATATGGAGCAAAGTTCTCATGCTCTGTTGGGTGGTCCTGTGAAAAAAACAATAAAAGACATACATTTTTCTACATTTAACAACACACTGACATATATTTTTATCACTTTATTTACAGTGTACATAGTATTTTACTCTTGACAAGTTTGCAATTTAATACTTCGATCTTGCGAGTGGAGAAAATGGTTGGTTCTAATATGACATCAGCCATTGTTGGTTTTATACAAGCAAAACAAATTGCAACAGCGATGCTGGATTCTAAATTGTGTGATAAATCTTACTGAAAGTGGAATGTATTTAGAAGAACCAATACTAATATGTTTTATTATTTTTTTTGTCTACCGATCCTCACAACTTTCAACCTTTTTATAATACAAATGAAAATACTCAGAACAGAATATATCAATGTTAATATTGAAATTTAATAAATATTATACTTTTCAGTATCAGCGGCATTGTATTCTGAAATGATTAAATAACAAAACTTTGATTTGATAAAAAAAAAAAAATCATGTGAATAATTTCAGCTACCTTTGCTTCAGACATGAGATATGCCCAGCAGTATGTTGAATGCTCAAAGACATCTTGGTCATCGATGGTCTTTCCACATTGTTTTTCTCCAATACCTGGCAAAAGCTCTCTGAACAGGATGTACAATCCCTCAACTGTAGCAATCTACATCATATATACAAAATGTCAACAACAAACATTTGATATCAAAAGTAAGCAAAGTGAATAAATTGTTTACCTTTTGTGTCCTGGATATAGATTCATTCTTTTGGAGTAACTGATACAAACTCTGGGCCAGAGGGTTGCATCCAGTTAGTTTGCGTATGTAACTAACTAGTTTCGTCTGTGCATCCCCAGAAAAGTTACATTTCTAAACATGGAAAACAAATCCAACATAAATTCTGTTTAAAAGATAATTCAAAAACCTCTGCTATAATTATGACCAACTGTGTATACATAAAAGGGAGGAGAGACCCCTGGCTTTCATATAAAATGGCAATTAAAAAATGTCATGTATTGCATTTAAATGAAAGAGTTGAAATTATTGCCTTCATTTAAATCTACAACTCCATGTTTTTTATTATGTTGGCCAGGATAAAATATTCCAAAGAAAGATCTCACATTTATTTTTATACATTAGGGCAGGGGGTAGAACTTTTTCCTTTTGGCAAGAGGTTTTGGGTATGATTACATCTTTCATACAGTATAAATACAGTATAAATAAGGTATTTTTTACTATCAATGGTTGTAGCCATAACATTATTATCACTATGACATCCAATTAGGTATTGCTTACAATTATATAGATAGATGAAAGCATATAACTCATTCCTGTGGAAGTTTGCTGGACAGAAGGCTCAACATCATCAATGAAGAATTCACTGGCTTGAGCTTCAGTGCAGAATGAGGACAGTGAGAAGTATATTGTTGACTCCTCTGTAATTCCACAACTTTCCAAAGTGTCACCAGAGCCTCCTTCACCTCTAACATAAAAAAAACATGAAAACAGTGGTAGTACTCGTCAGACAGAATTGATTTCAAAGTTGAAATTTAATATAGAAATTCAGAAATCAGATTTATATATTTTTTTTTAAACAAAGCGGAGTGTGTATGATGTCATCCGGGCGCGCCGGACTGGAGTTGTGGTAGGCAGCCCGGGCCTCAGGCGGCTACGCTAAATGAATGATGAATGAATAGTAGATGGCTGAACAGTTTCCATTAATTTTTGTTTAAACTTTGTTTCACAAGTCAGTTTGGCCAAGATTCCATTCTGTGTCTTTTTTTTTTTTTTTCATATTGCCGTGCAGAAAAATTGCAGCTGCTGGAAGATGTCTGAATAATGTTCTGTATACCTTTATGGTGTGGTACCTTTTATGGTAACTGTACTTTTTCAATAAATGAACCTAGTATTTTCTAGGTTCAAAGAGACACAAAATCTCGTTTTTTTTTTCATTTCACTTGAAGTCTGTTTTGATCAAATAGAAATAGAGGCCTGCCTCTAATTCTGGCCTCCTTCCAATAATAATCTGGACCAAGACGTACCTGAGTGAAATAAAGGCCCTGCCCTATATTAGAGGATTTATGGTACTTCATTTAAAAAAAATATTGTGTGAATTTATTTTTACATTTAAGATTTAAGATTTTATATAAAATGTTCATTATGATAAAGAACTAGAATAAAAACAAACATTAAATTTCATAACACATTTAATTACACAGTGTGCTAAACATATTTAAGTAAGGTTAAGTAATTAATAGGTTTTTATTACATACATTTAATTAATCAAATGCTCTTTTTTAGGACCAGGGCCGTTTCAGATGATGAACACAGATAATAAAATTATGAGATCTCATATACGTCATAAAATTTACCTAAATAAAAGCTAAAGTCACTTAAGAAAATGTAAAAATGCATATGGGTCCACAAGTAAGACATTTTTAGTGATTGTAAATTCCGAAAGATATTCACATGTTACATTTTATAGCTGCACTGTAGAACAGCAGATGGTCAGTAGATTTACTTTTGCTCCTTTATCACTTTATGCCCGGTGGATAATCTTCTGAGAACAATTAATTTTAATCACAGATAATAGCAGATAGGAAGAAAAATAGTCAAATAAAACAAAGGGCAGTCAGAAAAGTAGCGAGTCAAATGAAAGAAGACAACCTGCTCAGCGTTAAGAAAAAACAACAAAGAATTAAAGCTTACTTGTAATGTAGGATGTGTGCTGGAATTCCACAGACATTTGCAAGCTTGCTCTTCAAAACAGCAATGGTGTCTTCTTTCAAGTTCACTGTGAACTCATAATCTCCCTGAAAATGTTTTCAGATAATAAACATGATTAAAAGTTATGAGATCTTTTATATATCATAACATTGAACATGTGAAAGCAGAGAATCATAGACATGCCATAAGAGCTGATAAAAATTGAGAGGGTACTTTGAGTGTACAAGTTTTTTATGTTACATAAACTGTTCTACATAAAGTACTTCTTAAACTTAATTTTTGGGTGGGGTGTGAGGGTCAGCTCTAAAAAGGAAGGTCTTCTTGCTGCTAGGCAGCTGTTAGGTAAGAACTTAATGGAAGCCAATTGGAGTTTAATAGTAAGGCACCTTGGGGTGTTCCACAAAATGTTTTGAACAAAATGATCACCTTAATAGTGAGTTGCTGCAGCATCTCATAAAAAAACAACAACAACTATTTCATTAGGGAGTTCAAAAATATTGTTAAAACAATATATATATTTCTAATGTCTGGAACAACCAGGAATGAACATTTACCTTAGATTAACTTATTTCACACAATCAAAGCTAATGTCATATTATCCCTACAATTAAACTATTTTGAGTCTGAGATGTTTTAATTCCTGACAGTAAAAAAGCAATGAACAATAGGAAGTTCTGAGTTGAAGTTGACCATCCTACTTATTTTTTGTCCTAATAAATTAACAAATCTTACCTGACGCCAAATGATAAACTAATAAACAAATACATAATGATGCTTGTACTCCAACGTGAGCTCGACCTACTTGGGATACTTACAGTCTATCCAGCTTAACCCATCCAAAATGGGTTAATTACAATCACGATGAGCAGTACCACAACGCTAATTATCAACTTACCAACTTAACCCAGCTTTCACTGGAACACTACCCAGGACATGCTGGAGAGACTATGTCACTCGGTTAGCCTGGGAGTGCCATGGGTTTCTAAACGTACACCCTAACCCCTAAATGCCTTAATCACTATATACAGCAGGGACTATACAGTGGACTTTATAGTGAACTCAGTAAACTGACCATTTGGACAGATGATCACTACTTTTCACTCCCCATTGGTCACCTAACACCGCCTCTCTGCATCAGCCATTCACACTACGACCGACCAACCGACTCCGACCACCCACTCCCCCATATCCAAGGTCAAGTCACAGGGGTAGCAGCTTTAGTAGGGAGGCCCAGATGTCCATCGCTCCTGCCACTTTGGCCAGCTCCTCTGGGGCAATCCCGAGGCGTTCCCAGGCCAGCTGAGAAACATAATCCTTCCAGCGTGTCCTGGGTCTCCCCTTTCCTTTTTTAACACATGAATTGATAGAGAAAGGTATTTTCCTCGTGTTTGTTAATTATTAAATCTGATTAATTTATAAACAAAGTTATTCACAATTATAGATGATGAGGACATCTTGGATTTTTAACAGCAGTTTTAAGACACACAGGCATAAAAGGTAAGCAGTTAATAACACCTGGAAATTGAGCAAATAGTCATTCCATCATTTAACTAAAATCTATTACTTGGTTATTACATTAATCAACTTCAACTTGTTGTCCCAGTTACTTACTGCTAAAATGAACTCTTCTTTTGGGGTGTCCAAGAACTGTATAATTTTGAAGGATACTAAAAATTGGTCAGACAGGACAGGGTTGTAAGAGAATATTGGTATTCCTCCACAGTCATATGTCAGCACAAACTCTAAAATATAAAGAAGAGAATGTATTGGACTATTCACATTTCGAACAAAGCCCTACGAGTCTATGGCTATATGTTCACACTGTAGGTCTTAATGCTCAATTACAAATTATTTTGTGAAATCCGATAGTTTTGCATGGTTTTTCACATTTCCAAATATGTGTGACTTGTACATGTATAAGTGAAGTTCATAAACACAACTTAAGTGTCCAGAATGCACAGTAGAAGAAGCAATGATGTGACAAGTGAGCCTGTTCTGTGTTTACGGAGGTAAACATGGATGGTAGTGCTAGAGTGCATCTTGCAATCTCTCATTTTTTTCTCAACCTCAGCCAACCTCAAGATCCGCATTATTGTCTGCCATGGTTTTTCTTCCGGCTTTTGAATAGCAAAACGCACAATAGTGACTTTTGTTGAGAATGAATAATGTGCAGGTTGGTTGAATGTGACCTGGCCGCTCAGACGCAGTTTGCATTTTGAAAGATCAGATATGTATCAGATTCAGGACCACATAGCCAAGTGGCCTGGAAAAATCAGATTTGTGTTGTTAAGACAGTCAATAAAAGATCAGATACAGGTCGCAAAGGTGCACTAAAATCAGATTTAAGTCACTTCAGGCTGCTGTGTGAACGTAGCCTAAGATACCGTTAAATGCTGTATTCAAGCTATCACCTTCAATGTCGGCATGAATGTTAAAATCCCCCACTATAATGACTTGTGTTGGGTGCTGGAGTCTCCTTTTCCCTCTAGGTGGAGCCATTAGGCTGCGGTCGGACTGGAGGGCAGTTTCTGTGCACCTGCATGCAATGAGCCTCGTCTTCTCCAGTATAAGAGGAGCGGTTGGCCAGATCTCCAGCACTTGAGTATTAATCACTACTGGTACTCAAATCCCCCCTCTGAGCTAAAGGGTCTCTTTAGATTCTTTAAACCTGAACCTGTTTCTTGTGCTTTTGCAGGTTACCTCTCCTGCTTCTGAGAAAAGCTTCCTCCTAGGAACTCACTTCCTGAACCAAATCGGAGCGCAACCTCTGCCAAAGAAACTCCTGGACAAACCTCCCTATCCGGCAAAGTACCTCTTCTCTCTCTCTCTGCAAACTGTCTGGAAAGATCTCAGGGAAGACGCCCAGCCTCCCAACCTCAGTTCCCCCCGGCGGTAACAACCCAGCTATCCTGTAAGCACATGTCTGAATTCGGTTCCCAGCCTGAGTCTCATCTTTCCACTAACCTCTCCCCTTCTCACCCTTCAGTTTGTGGATGTTCCAGTTCCTCCTCCTCCTTTACAATATTCATTCCATCTCTGTTTTTGCTATCAGTTTTAAAAGAAAGGAAAATAAACCTTTTTGATCTACAACTCATCCATCTCCTTGTATGTTCTCTGCATATGGGTCAAACGCCATGCCCCAAACAGGACAACTTGAGAAAATTTAATTCTAAATCAGATAGGAACTCTGAAAACTTATCCTGAAAACTGATGAAAAATTAAGAGTAAGGACCTGGTGGATGATACAAAGTTACCAAGAGAACATTTTGTGTTGCTTTGCTATTTGGATGGGGGAAATTAAGGCTTAAATGATCAAAATAACTGTATTAACTGGCCTTGGAATATACAGTAAGTCAGATTGTTAGCCCAGAATTCCTGGGCATGTGAAAATGTCACACAACTCAAACTCACTCACATAACCGTAACTGGGTGTCATATCATTATCCAGCTTGAATAACAGTCTTACTGTATTTAACCTTATTCTTAGTCAGCAGTTTGGGGTAGGATTTGATGTTGCCTGTTCTGGCCCTCAAGAAACATTTGACTATGGTCCCTGGTGTCTCTAATGCCACGTTTCTGACTATGGAGCTGCCAATTACCAGAGTTGGCTTCATAGTGAATTAGTTAGAAACGTGAACAGGTCGATGGTGACCAGTTGGCAAAGATCTAGGACAACTCTCTACATACCGTCATCCAACTACCTTAGTTTCCTGGATGTTCAGGAACTATTGGAGGACCACTACTGTTCCCTCGTCTCTGTGGTTCCAAGCTGTCAGCTACTGGACCAGGTCCCAAAACAGAGACTCTGACAACATTGCCTCTAAAGCTACAAAAATTATACACTTATTACATGTATCATTATACACTCACCGGCCACTTTATTAGGTACACCTGTCAAACTGCTCGTTAACACTTAATTTCTAAGCAGCCAATCACATGGCGGCAACTCAGTGCATTTAGGCATGTAGACATGGTCAAGACAATCTCCTGCGGTTCAAACCGAGCATCAGTATGGGGAAGAAAGGTGATTTGAGTGACTTTGAACGTGGCATGATTGTTGGTGCCAGAAGGGCTGGTCTGAGTATTTCAGAAACTGCTGATCTACTGGGATTTTCACACACAACCATCTCTAGGGTTTACAGAGAATGGTCCGAAAAAGAAAAAACATCCAGTGGGCGGCAGTTCTGTGGGCGGAAATGCCTTGTTGAAGCCAGAGGTCAGAAGAGAATGGCCAGACTGGTTCAAGCTGATAGAAGGGCAACAGTGACTCAAATAACCACCCGTTACAACCAAGGTGGGCAGAAGAGCATCTCTGAACACACAGTATGTCGAACCTTGAGGCAGATGAGCTACAGCAGCAGAAGACCACACCGGGTGCCACTCCTTTCAGCTAAGAACAGGAAACTGAAGCTACAATTTGCACAAGCTGATCGAAATTGGACAATAGAAGATTGGAAAAACGTTATCTGGTCTGATGAGTCTCGATTTCTGCTGCGACATTCGGATGGTAGGGTCAGAATTTGTGTTCTACAACATGAAAGCATGGATCCATCCTGCCTTGTATTAACGGTTCAGGCTGATGGTGGTGGTGTCATGGTGTGGGGAATATTTTCTTGGCACTCTTTGGGCCCCTTGGTACCAATTGAGCATCGTTGCAACGCCACAGCCTACCTGAGTATTGTTGCTGACCATGTCCATCCCTTTATGACCACAATGTACCCAACTTCTGATGGCTACTTTCAGCAGGATAATGCGCCATGTCATAAAGCTGGAATCATCTCAGACTGGTTTCTTGAACATGACAATGAGTTCACTTTACTCAAATGGCCTCCACAGTCACCAGATCTCAATCCAATAGAGCATCTTTGGGATGTGGTGGAACGGGAGATTTGCATCATGGATGTGCAGCCGACAAATCTGCGGCAACTGTGTGATGCCATCATGTCAATATGGACCAAACTCCCTGAGGAATGCTTCCAGCACCTTGTTGAATCTATGCCACGAAGAATTGAGGCAGTTCTGAAGGCAAACGGGGGTCCAACCCGTTACTAGCATGGGGTACCTAATAAAGTGGCCGGTGAGTGTAGCTAAAGGAGGCAGAGGAATATCTGAACATCTGGCTCAGAGGGCAGAAGAAAGAGGAGGAGATTTAGAGAGTCCGAAAAGGGTCTGGAGAGACAGAGAGGGAAGCCCCTACGATGATGAACTAATTATTACAGGTGCTGGTCATAAAATTAGAATATCATGAAAAAGTAGATTGATTTCAGTAATTCCATTTAAAAAGTGAAACTTGTATATTATATTCATACATTACATACAAACTCATATATTTCAGATGTTTATTTTGTTTAATTTTGATGATTACAAATGACAACAAATGAAAATCTCAAATTCATCATATCAGAAAATTAGAATATTGTGAAAAGGTTCAAAATTGATGGCCCCTGGTGCCACACTCTAATCAGCTAATTAACTCAAACCACCTGCAAAAGCCTTTAAATGGTCTTTCAGTCTAGTTCTATAGGCTACACAATCATGGGGAAGACTGCTGACTTGACAGTTGTCCAAAAGACGACCATCGACACCTTGCACAAGGAGGGCAAGACACAAAAGGTCATCGCTGGCTGAGGCTGGCTGTTCACAGAGCTCAGTGTCCAAGCACATTAATAGAGAGGCGAAGGGAAGGAAAAGATGTGGTCGAAAAAAGTGTACAAGCAAGAGAGATAACCGCACCCTGGAGAGGATTGTGAAACAAAACCCATTCAAAAATGTGGGGGAGATTCACAAAGAGTGGACTGCAGCTGGAGTGAGTGCTTCAAGAACCACCACACACAGACGTATGAAAGACATGGGTTTCTGCTGTCGCATTCCTTGTGTCAAGCCACTCTTGAACCACAGACAGCGTCAGAAGCGTCTTGCCTGGGCTAAAGAGAAACAGGACTGGACTGCTGGTGAGTGGTCCAAAGTCATGTTCTCTGATGAAAGTAAATTTTGCATTTCCTTTGGAAATCAAGGTCCCAGAGTCTGGAGGAAAAGAAGAGAGGCACTTCATCCACGTTGCTTGAAGTCCAGTGTAAAGTTTCCACAGTCAGTGATGGTTTGGGGTGCCATGTCATCTGCTGGTGTTGGTCCATTGTGTTTTCTGAGGTCCAGGGTCAACGCAGCCACATACCAGGAAGTTTTAGAGCACTTCATGCTTCCTGCAGCTGACCAACTTTTTGGAGATGCAGATTTCATTTTCCAACAGGACTTGGCACCTGCACACAGTGCCAAAGCTACCAGTACCTGGTTGAAGGACCATGGTATCCCTGTTCTTAATTGGCCAGCAAACTCTCCTGACCTTAACCCCATAGAAAATCTATGGGGTATTGTGAAGAAGAAGATGCAATACACCAGACCCAACAATTCAGAAGAGCTAAAAGCCACTATTAGAGCAACCTGGGCTATCATAACACCTGAGCAGTGCCACAGACTGATCGACTCCATGCCACGCCGCATTGCTGCAGTAATACAGGCCAAAGGAGGCCCAACTAAATACTGAGTGCTGTACATGCTCATACTTTTCATGTTCATACTTTTCAGTTGGCCAACATTTCTATAAATCCTTTGTTTTTATTGGTCTTCAGTAATATTCTAATTTTCTGATATGATGAATTTGAGATTTTCATTTGTTGTCATTTGTAATCATCAAAATTAAACAAAATAAACATCTGAAATATATGAGTTTGTATGTAATGTATGAATATAATATACAAGTTTCACTTTTTAAATGGAATTACTGAAATCAATCTACTTTTTCATGATATTCTAATTTTATGACCAGCACCTGTAGTTACGTCACGGCACTTGACACTTAATATAACGTCTGACGGAGTAAAATTTTCCCAAGCCATTTAGCATGCCGTATGGTGTACATGAAGCAGCCGCTTGCATAATATTGCAAGCGGCTAAGTGGTTTATTCCATTCACCTGTCCAGCTCTGCACAGTTTCTCATTACCGTGCATCAGTGTCACCTGCTCTAGTCTCTATTTAAACTGCTTGCTCACACTCTCAGTTTCAGATTATTCGAGCCTTCGGTGAGAATTCTCTAGCATACCTGTTTTTGTTCTGATTGCTTAATCCTGACCCATTCTGAATTTGGATTTCTTCTCTCTTTTTCTTTGTCTGCTGGACAGTTCTGCCTTCCTTCATCGCTTGGGTCTGCTCATCATCCAGTGTAGCAGTCCTCAAGGCTTCAACTCCTAGAACTCTATCGGGGGTGTTCGCCGTGTGCTGTTGGCAGCCATTCAGCTGGATTCCACTCCTTCCTCTGGGCACACACTGAACTCTAAGACCGGGTTAGTGACTCACTTGTTCGTAATCATCCTTCGTCAGACTTATGTGGTCACTAACCTGAGTTTTCCCTCTGCAGCGATTACGGCCTTAGGCACCCTTGCTGCTGAATTGCAGATTTCTTAATAAATGGTTTTAAAAAGACCACCTGTCTGTTTGTTTTGAATTCTGGGTCATCTGTTCTGAGCCTTGACATCATGGCCATATATACAGTCTGTGACATAGTGAGGGCCACATTCCTGCAGGTCGGGGCTCCTGGATCTGGCCAATATATGCCAGTCCAGACCTTGAAATCCTGTACAGCTCATATAAGTAAATACTAATTGTGATTAAAACGATCATCTCACAATTTGCATTAAATAGAGTCTTCATGAAAGGACGCGTCATTGTTTCCGAACAGCTGACTGGCTTGTGGAGGAAGCCTTTTAAATGTTTCTGACCAAACCTGAAAGTCTTCCATTGTTACCATGATAACTTGCCTTGCTAAAAACTTGTCCAGCTTCGTGATACCGAATAGTCCAGCTTAAACCTGAAGTTACCTCGCTAAGCCAGTAATCCTGCTTCGTGGTACATGCCTTTGCAGTTAGACTCATTAAAGTAAAAAATAATTAAAAATAAAATAATAAAGTTACAGTGGATAATAATACTAACTTATGCAAAGATATGCTTAAAAGTTCAACCTTTTAAAATTATAATTTTTTCATTTTAATTGTATATTCAAAAACGTGTTTTTACCAAATCCATGCATTGCAAAGGATTCTAAAGTTAAATGTCAAAAACCCCATTTCAAAGGAATTTAATGTTTTTGTAGAGGTTTTTATGAAAGGGTTATACACATTTTACATCAAAGTTTTGAGATAGTTTCTCTCGTATTGACCCATTATAGGGATTACTTTGTTATACAAATCAGCTATAATGTTATAATAAGTCGTCACCTTAAACATGTATTTCTTTCATGTTTATTTCTAAATTCCTTCAAAAGTCAGTTAGCAAGCATCTTGCTCTACTCAGAATCTCTGCTAAGAGAGGAGTTCATAGAAGAGACAGGGTAATGCTAGCACATTATCTGTCTGTAATAAAACACTCGATCTTTCTTTTTAATCATGTACAGTACACCACCAGAGATGTTTTCTTGTTTTTCTGCTTAATTAGCTAAGCACTCTGACTTGATGTTTAAAGTATTGTAATTTTGAGTTTCATAATGAGTTTGTTTAATGTATTTTTCAAGTCATGCTATGCTCTGTTCTCTATCAGATGGCATTTGAGCTTAAAAAGAGCTGAGCTTTGACTGACTGATTTAAACAATAAACAAACTGAGAGACTGCAGCAGTTATGCTCTCTGTTGCTGCTCTGTTATTGCTTACATAAGTATAGGGATTTTTTTTAAGACCTTTTGAAGCATGGATATTTGTTTGTTACCTTGAAAGCAAGATAAATTGTTGTTAGATATATGAATTCAAAAACTCTTGAAAATAAATCTTGCCAGGAGCCAGGCGAAGCATTGCCTTGAAACAGTTTCGGACCAATGAAATGCAATGATGTGTTTGATGTTAACGCATCAACCTGAGGCAGAAGCCTGAAGCAAAACAAACATTACCTTCTTTTTCCTTATGAATTATGAGCAAAAGGACATGATTGTTTGCCTTTGTATTAGGGTTGTGCAAAATAATCGTGATGATGACGCATCGTGATTCTAATTTTCGTGATCTACTGCATCGATTCTTCATGCCAAGAATCGATTATTAATTTAAAAAAAATGAATAAATAAAGTTGCATGAATGGTTGGCGAACATCAGCCAAAAACAAGTGTAATATCACTTCTAGTCCAGTAGATGTCGCTGCAAATGTGTTGACGCACGCTGCCTTGTGTCACAAGCATTTCCGGCTGTGGGATACTGTGCCGAGTCATTCAAAAACAAAACATGGAGGAGAAAATATTGCAATGCATCGCAATAATTCAAGTATCGTGATGCATCGTGATAGAATCGCATCGTGGCCTGTGAATCGTGATTCGAATCGAATCGTGACTTCTTTGGCAATACCTGCCCCTACTTTGTATACGGGTAGATGTTTGCCCATCTCCCCTGACCCATTTGGTAAGTTTGCAAAATCAGTTAACTCCACTAGTTATGAAACAAAAGAAGCTGTTACTCCTACTGAGATTGGCTAAAACTACTGTTGAAAAATTGTGCTGAATATCTCTCCCTTTTGCAAATATTTTTTACAAGGGGCTTTCCAGATTGATTTGTGTAGTACAATTTGAATTCTACATAGTATCAATTTGGTTTATGCCAAGGTCAATTGAGACAAAATTCTATATTTTAAATTTTTTTGGTAGCATCTCACGTGCTCCAAGGAATGATCTGGTTCCAGATCAACAATATTCCATATAGAAAATACTGGTGTACACTAAACTTACTTTGAGCATGACGTGACATCGAACCTTGTCTGTTCCACTGGTTTCAAAATTTGAATGCCGTGAATTTGCAGGAGCTTGTATCATATTCTGCTTTGGTGTGAATATTGCAAAAATTTCATCTCCACTTTTAATATGTCTATCTTGTAAGGACCCTGTAAAGTAGAAACAAAATGAGGTGTACATTTCATAAGACAAAGTAATCTTCTCTTTGCCTTTTGTAAACAAAAGACAAATTTGTATCAATTTAATTCTGATCTTTATGCATATGTATCCCTAAATGCCAGGATTTACATGCCATCTAATTGGAATTTGCATATGTCTTTTTAGTGACTTTTCCTGCACACAATAATCTTTGAATGAATTTTGCACTTTCCCACCTTAACTCATTTTGATTAAAGTTACTTGCCTTAACTACAGCAACACCAGGTTAAAAATGAAAGTACTTGCTACTTGTTCAGTAATCACCTCTCCTGCATAAATATCTTGCAGTTAGTCAGCAGGTGGGATATTTTCATTCCCATTAGCTAATATCCTTCTGTCCCTTTTGTGATATTGTCTTCATGGTTGTCTTTTACATATCACTGACCACCCTATAAGGAAGGTCATTTCAGCTACTTACTGTATATCCAATGCTAATACATGGACCCAGGCTTGCATCAAAAAAGCCCTGTACCATGGACCCATTGTCTTTCATTAGAAAAAAATGTTCCTGTCTAAACCTCCTTGCCAAATCTATTTGAAGCTGGCGTTAAACACATGGTGTTTTTGCTGGTAGGTATTGCTGTGGTCATACATTTGGCTCTAGTTTCCACATATATCATTTGATTTTTATACAATTCATTATGACAATGTCTTCATCTTAATCCAGGCAAAAACACTTACCCAGATACACATTTAGTTTGTGTCTCATAGTTTCTCTGCAGGGTCCCCAAGCCAATTTAAAACATTCAGCCCCAAGCCATTTTTGGCCAAGGATTATACAATTAAATGCACAAATGCAAAAGTGAGTAGTAACTACTTACATTCACTGTAACACTTGTTTGAGAAACTTTTTGAGCAAAATTTACTTTTATGAGTAGTTGTGCATTACCATACCTTTTTACTTTAACTAATATTATTAAAAAGTATTGCTACCCTTAATGGAGTAAAATTTTCAGCAACTCTACCCACCATAAGTACCTTCACTGACTAAAGAACAGCCTTTTTTTTAACCGCAAATGGACCCGAGAGATACATCAACACTTCATATTAAAATTGAGAAATCTGATTTTGTTTCCAAGCTTTCTGGTTTATTGTTTTGTATTGGTTTTCTTCTATCTGCTATCTGTTTTAGAAGTTAGAATACACTAAACAGTAGATGTATTTAAATGGAAATACTTTGTAGAGTTCTATCTTACAGTACTGTACATTAAATGTTGTAGATATGTATTGGTTTTCTAAGTTTTATATTTCATTAAAAATATTTTTATTGAGCCAGAATTTTGAAGCTTGTAATTAAGTTTTATTTTTTTTTTTTTGCATATTGTTTTCATTCTGGTCTTTATTTATTCATTAGTTGTTATGATTAGTTACAAAGACTTTGAGAAACCTCATTGAATACTTGTTATTTGTTTTTCTTACCTGAGTAAAATAAAAGTACATTTACTTGAGTAAAAAAAAAAAAACGTAATGTTGCTTTTATTACTTAAGTAAATTTTTTGGATAATCTATCCATCTCTGTAACTTCTAAAGAACAAAAATGCGTCTCTCTGAGCAATTGTCTAAATCTGTAAGGAAGTTAGACATTTTTATAAATCTATGTTGTCTAACTTACAGAAGTATTTGAAAGAACCCCTCTATAAATGCAAAATGTCACTGACTTACAGAAAAAACTCTACCAAACATCGACTTATGTATACATGTATAGACAGCGCTGAATCAAATATGGATGGTCTGATTTTCTCCGAACTGGAAATTAATGACAGGTTACATCAAGTAACCCATTCCCACCAAAAACAAAGTCACAGGCTACTGTGGTTAAAAACAATTTGTGATAGATACAGTTTATCTTTGTCTAGTGACAGATGATACTTTTAAAAGAAATTTTAAAAATACACTACTAAGGGAAGTCTGCATGAATGCCTCACCATCAAACAGGAGGTCACTAAAGCTTCCAGGTCTAAATTTTGGCAAACGTTTGAAGACCTTTCAGCAGAGCTAAGCCTGACTACATTTCATTTTAAGTCTTGTCTACAGTATAGCCTAGTGTTGGAATGCAGAATGGAGGAGCTGCCTCAAATGGCATAGAGGTTGCAATGCAGGACCCCAGCAGTTGCTGCAGAAGCCGGAGTGACAGTACAGTAAGTAGCAAGTGCTGTGCCAGTCTGCTTCCAACTCAAATAATGTCTATTCTTCGTTTTTTTCTCCACATGCTAATATTTTTGAAAAACATCTTATCTCACACAGGCTATGTAGATATTTTGCCTAAAATACAAATTATAAATTTTAAGCTGCCTTTATATTTCTGCTGTTAATGTTAATTTCCTTAATTTATTTATTTATTTTATCTTTTTAAAATATAAATATTTCCAGCTGGTGACAATTACAACAGGGCGTATATTCAGTATTTGCTTAAGTGATATAATTTTGTTGACTAAATAAAACAGCTGTATTTTTAATAGTTTTTTGTAACTCTTGTAAAAGGGATAACAAAATTGTCAGATCTTTTGTATAATTTCAATGACATAAATCTCACTTTACACAAACTAACATGTGTTGAAGAAGGGATCTTCTGTTAGAGGCATTCCATCTTGAGTAAACAGACAGACATCCCTGCTTTGCTCAAGACCTTCGTTGTGATGTATCCTTTGCATCAGATCTTCAACAGTGCTTTGAGCTGGATCCATATCTGCAGTTAGTGAAAAAAAAATCCAGGCTGTGTTGATATTTTTCAACGAGAGTCCTGCTTTCATGATTTTTACTAAGATTTGCAATTATTATTTTCACCAGCTTATTAAAGGGAGAGTGAGTACAAATTTGGTGAAGTATTGCTTTAATAAATACATGTTCAGTGAAAGTTTTAATGGCATATAACCAAAAATTAAATAACTCTAATACCTTAGAATTAGTAGTTTATAAATACATTGGTGTGGTACACTCAATAAGAGACGCCATGTTGGGATGTTTGGTCCCCATTTTGACCAGAGTAGCCAAAAAACTTGTCAGCCTTACATGTTTTACTTATATCTGACAATGTGTTGTCAGTGGTGGAGGAGTTTAAAATAAGCAAAAACAACCATAGATCATTCAATCTCCACTTTCTTTTGCAATGAATGACCATCATACTCTTTGTGCAGTGAAAAACAAGACACACAACCAAAAAATAAATAAATAAGTCATGGGGAATACAGAGTCTCTATCGGCACAGATTTTACTAGCCAGCTTCTCCGGGGGAATCCCAAGGCTCTCCCAGGCCAGCTAAGAAACATAGTCTCTCCAGCGTGTCCTGGGTCTCCCCCTGGGACATGCCTGGAACACCTCGGCAGGGAGACTTCCAGGATGCATCCTAATTAGATGCCTGATCCACCTCAACTGGCTCCTCTAGATGTGGAGGAGCAGCGGCTCTACTCTGAGTCCTCCCCGGATGACTGGGCTTGATCACGCTATCTCTAAGGGAGAACCCAGACACACTATGGAGAACACTCATTCCAGCCGCTTGTATCCGGAATCTCGTTCTTTCGGTCGTGACCCAAAGCTTAGGACCATTGATGAGGGTAGGAACGTACTGTAGATCAACCGGTAAATCGAGAGCTTTGCTTTTTGGCTCAGCTTTCTCTTCACCACAACAGACTGGTACAGTGCACGCTTCACAGCAGATGCCGCACCAATCCACCTATTGATCTCCTGCTCCATCTTCCCCTCATTCGTCAACAAGACCCCAAGAAACTTAAGCTCCTCCACTAGGGGTAGAACATCCTCCCCAACCCGGAGAAGGCACTCTACCCTTTTCCGGCTCAAGATCATGGTCTTGGATTTGGAGTCACTGATCCTCATCCCGGCCGGTTCACACTAGGCTGCGAACTGCTCCACTTAGAGGTGTAGATCAAGCCCAGATGAAGCCAACAGAACCACATGATCTGCGGATAACAGAGATGCAATCATAAGGCTACGAAAACAGATCCCATCAACACCTTGGCTGCGCCCAAAAATTCTATCCATAAAAGTTATAAACAGAATCTGTGACAAAGGGCAACCTTGGCGGAGTCCGACTTACTGCCAGCAATGCGGACCAGGCTCTGACACTAATCATACAGAGACCTAACAGCCCCTATTAAAGGGCCCCGTACTCCATTCTCCTGGAGTACCCCCCACAGGACCCCCCGAGGGACACTGTCGAATGCCTTCTCCAGATCCACAAAACACATGTAGACTGGTTGGGCAAACTCCAAAGCACCCTCCAGAATCCTGCTGAGGGTGTAGATCTGATCCAGTGTTCCATGGCCAGAACCAAAACCCCACTGCTCCTCCTGAATCTGAGATTCGACTATCCGATGGACCCTCCTTTCCAGAACCCCGGAATAGACCTTACCAGGGAGGATTAAGAGTGTGAGTCCTCTGATAGTTTTTTGGGCTGTTTTAAATACAAGTACCATTGGTAGCTTTTAAGGAAAATATTGGCTAATCTTTAGCTTTGTTTCTTGGTTAAAAAAATTATTAAAAATGGTTTCCCCAGCAGACTTATTAATAGATTCTAACTTAAATGTTTACTTTGTTGGGGGGGTTAGCTAGCCTGACGTAGTCCGACTCAATTCTAGTCAGAATATGAGTCTGATACTGCTCCATAGAGCTGTGATTATGTCGCGTGTTTCTAACGAACCAGGAAAAAAAATGCCTCTGCACTCAATTGGACAGACCTACAACCAATAAGAGCAACGGAGTGCGTGACGTATGTTAAGCGAGGCATAGTTGTTGTCCACAAAAATCAAAGCGTGCAGTTGCACGCCTAGAATAAGAAGATGAGACTTGATCGCGTTTCTCTGTTCCTCTTTTAAAATTAATTTGCTGTCGATATCTTCTAGAACAGACCTAATAGCAGAATCTACTCACCCAAACTCTCCAGCGGCAGCCATTATTGTTGTCACCCAAGCGCGCTTTGGTCACGTGGTTGATTACGTTACTCTTGATCATCTGTCCATCATCGTATAAAGCCCGCCCTGACAATTTGATTGGATCGCCTGACAGTGGCCGATAATACTCGCGCTACTATGGAGCAGAGCCAGACCGAACTTCCCCGAACTCAAACCTTGTGGGCGGGACTAAGTTCGGACTGGCACCCAGGCTAGGGGTTAGCTAGGTGAGCATGAAGCTTAATCTAAAGCCATCTGTATAGCAACAAACCATTTTCAGATCGGTGAGCAGTTGCAAATCTGCATATACATCAAATATAGTACATACAAATGTGTCATAACTAGAATTGATAAAATGCAAATTTACAAAGCTAGATTTACAACTCCAACTCCCAGCATGCACTGGCCAGAGTAGCCAATTCTTATGGCTAACTACAGCAGCAGTTACATATTGTTTAAACTGTTAAGTCTCATTGAATAATAGTGGTGTGTTATTCAAAGAATTTACTTAGCAGGAGTCTTCTTATGCCTGCAAAGTGCTATAGTATCTTGAGTTTTTGGGGGTGATAGAAATTTAACTGTTGCTCAGAGAGACACGGCAGAGATGTGGGATGAACAATTTAATGAGTGTTTTCAATGCAACATGATGCTCCTTTCATGTGGTATCATAATAATGGTAAATGCCATGTATTTTACATGTATTTTACAAAATAAAAATAAAAATGGCACATTCATGTTGTAATTTATACTGGAAAAATTGAAAAATTATATGATACCTGAGTTGACGAGATGAGGTAAACTTTGACCTTTTAACATGGCAGAGAGCAGCAAAACTATTCTGTATGGTGAATACTGCGTCATTAAGCGTTGTCTCATGTTATATTGGTAGCCTACGTAATGCTTTGACATATATTATTTTAAAATATATCGCCAGTAAGACTTGTGTTGTTTTTGAAAAGACGGTTATTGTTTGATTTTATCAGATGCTTGTTTGCAGTCAGTCGATGCATTTGATGCATCCTCCTCTTTATGTAGCAGATGAACTCGGAAGATTATTCTTGTCTTGCCCAAGCAGCAGGTCAGGATAATCTTTGCATCCATGTTACTCCTCTGTACCACAAGAAAAGCACTTGAACACAAATCTGCAACACTGTCTTTACGCGGCACTAATGACAGTTCAGATGCATATGTAAGACAAGCTGCAAGTGTTGTCATATGTTTCACAAGATTTAGTTTTGTAATCAAACAGAACAGGATGAAACTGATCACATAATACAAACAAATTATTTTAACAATCAAATACTTTTTTCAGATGCCTATGTAAAAAATCTCCATATCAAGGATGATTAAGTTGGCTGTCCTTTTGGTAGAGAAGGCTAGTTTTTTGTTAGCCTATACTGAAAAGGTTCAGATGAAACAGTCTTCATTTGTTGTTATTCTTTGTAAAAATCATATCAGCTTGCAGGCATAGGGTTCTTTTAGTCTTGGTTTCAGAGAAAACAAGGTTTTATTCTTTATTTTTAGCTGATTTGACAAGGATGACAGAGGTTAATGTGTCCCGTCCATTTAGAAAGAGTAGAATGTCTGCAGCTTCCATATTGGGAGGCACCACTTTGTACATTATGTAGTGCACCACCAGATGGAGGTCAAAATCAAACATTGTCCTTTTAATGTCACTGACAATCAGAATAAACACAGTGGGAGAATTTTTAAAGCAATTTGAGATTTTGCGATTGGTGCATTTTCACATCACCTACCAAACAATGGAATTCAAAAAATAAATATTGATCTTAATTGTCATTATTATATGAAAGTTTGATCCTATGCGTGAATTTCCAGAACCAAATATTGAGCTAAATGTGTCAGGTTTCTGCCCTCTGCTTGGGTTTATTTTTAAGCTTATTTGTGTTCTGTGTCTTTGTACCGGTAGTTTATTTCTACCAGTGCTGAGTTCTTAAATTATCCTCTGTTGCCCCTTTGTGCTTTCCCCTTGGCCTTCTCTCAGGCTACGTTCATACCGCAGCCTGAAGTGACCCAAATCCGATTTTTTTTCAGATCTGATTTTTTCCAATCCGACCCAGGCCACTTGGCTATGTGGTTGTGAATCCGAAACAAATCTGATCTTTTCAAATGTGACCTGTATCTGAGTGTCCAGGTCTGATTAATCCGACCTGAACGTCATTAATACCCGACAAGGGTCGCTATTCTGTGTCTTGCTACCCAGAAGTGGCAGGAAAAACAACAACCATGGCAGATGATGATGCAGAGGGCAGAATTTATGTTTAACCATATTGAAAAGATAGTGTTTTTATGGTTGGGAAAGATTGCTACACGCGCGCCAGCACTACTATCCATGTTTACTCCCGTAAACACAGAGCACGCTGGCCTGTGACGTCATCGCGTCCTCTACTGCGCATGCGGGACACTTGCGGTTCATGACTGCAGTTCATACAGGAGATCACATACAAGTCACATATTTTTGGAAATATGAACGGCAATGCAAAAAAAAAACAAAACAGATTTCACAAAAAATTCGGAACTGAGCATCAAGGCCTGCAGTGTGAACGTAGCCCTAGTTGGTCCTGTCCACACCTGCTCCCAATCTGCTGATTAGCTAGTCTTGGTTCAGTCTCCCAATATATACCTCACATTTGCAGTGCTAGTTTGTTGTGTGTGTTTCTTCCTCGTATCTGGTTCCCCCGTGAGTTCTCCCTGACATTTTGATCATCTGTATTTTGGTTCTCAGTATTTTTGTATTTCTGCCTTTGTTAACTATTAAATC